AGTTACAGTTCAACTGTCCACATCAGGTCATATTTACTTATAGTGTGGCTGGACTTAATGACATTTATAAAAAGGAAGTCCCTATGTCCATGATAGAACAAATCAAAGCATTTCAACAAAAACCTTCCCCAGATGCCTACCTTCATTTACCTCTCTGTGAGCATAAATTAGTAAATTGATTTCTTTGCCTTTAGGATTCCAAAATTGTATGCAATCAAATCACCTGCCCAGCAGTTTCCTGTGCCGATCCAGTTTTTGTTGAAGGTGAATGCTGTCCAGTCTGCTCTCATTGTGAGTATTTAGCTGAGGAGAAAGATAGTTTTTTTGAGCTTTCAAAAACACTAGTAGTGACTTTGAATAATGCCAAAGACTAAGATGTCAAGGCAGGTAAGATCAAATATAGAACTGTATGTATACAAAGATCATACAAAATAACTTGGGTGCTTGAAGTTACCCTCTGAAGGATCTGGTCTGTCTTCATTGATTATATTGGTTACTTAGAATTAAGGTGATAAACTGCTTAGCTATCTTGGGCATAAAATATTAAATGCATGTTTCTCCCCAGTCACGTTTCACATTTTTTTAGTCATTCAGAGCATAGGGTATAATTCTTATAATGTGCTCTTGATCATGTTCACCATTATGCAGCTTTCAAAGGTGGGGCCACATATCACACTGACCTCTATTCTGAAACCAAAGGCAGTTTGGACTCAGGGTTTGGCTCAGTTCATTCTAGAGACAAGATGTTTTTCCTTCAAAGATCAGTGCTTCTTGCTTCAAAGATCAGTGTGCAAACACACTGCACACAAATTCATGAAGATCCAGGATTCTTATCTCAAGTAACCCCTCATTATATTACACCATAGTTCTGTACCATCAGTGGCAGCTTGGTAAAGCAAAATTAGAAAAGGAGAGTTCTCCATGTTAAAGTACATATTCTGCAGAAAAAGAAAAGGTAATATCTTCTAAGTAGGATAGTAGAGCAACTTTCAAAGCTAAGCACTTTTTCTTACCTCTTGCTCTGCAGCTGATGACAGTGAGGAGGGCTGGTCACCATGGTCCGACTGGACAAAGTGCTCAGTTACCTGTGGCTCTGGGACACAGATGCGAGGAAGGTCATGTGATGTCACCAGGAGTGCTTGTACAGGCCCCCACATCCAAACAAGGATGTGCAGTTTTAAGAAATGTGATCATCGCAGTAAGTAATGTATTTCTTCCTTTTTAAAAGCTTCTTTTGACATCTCAAAGCAAAACCAAGTTTAGTCAGGACAGTATGCACCTGAGAAATCCTATATGCACAATTAAAGTGGCTGTCATTAGATTCTTTGCCAATTTTCCCCTTTCAAATGTTTCTCCCTTTCCTGACAATTTAATAGGTATGTACATTCTGGGCTTAGCTATGTTAAAAAAAAAGATGGGTGATCCTTTCTTTAACATTATGACTGGAGTATTTTGTTTGAACTCTGTTTGGATATTACACTTAGTTTGTAAACATGATATTCAAGGCTGTGTTTACGTCTGCCATTCAATCATTGTTGGGCCATTCCATTAACTTAGCTGTGCTCAGGAATACAGTAATAATTGAAGATTTCTGATAAATATCAAACTACTTTATTATTTAAGGCACTTACAAGGATGATATTCCAGAAATACAGTAGTTAATGCTATTGGAAGTACCTGTGATATCCAGGCTGATATAATACCTAAGGCAATATCTAGCAGCTGAGGCTGCTAGATGTCCAAATGTACGTTTTGAACAAGTGTTTGTTTCATTGGAAAAATTTATTTTTAAGTAAAATATCTGACATAATTGTTAGTCTTATATTGGTTACTGAAATTCCTAAGAAAGCTGTTCTTGAGTACCTGAGCTGGCATGCTGGGCTTTGTAAGTGAAATGGTGGGAAAGAGATGGGATTTTAATCAGATGCAGTGAGAGGCTCATTAGAAGGCTAACCTCATAAGTGAGTTTGTGTTACTGCTGCAGGTGGGCTGTTTGCTTGATGTGTCCTCTTTTCTCTGGCAGTACGTCAAGATGGTGGCTGGAGTCACTGGTCTCCCTGGTCTTCCTGTTCAGTTACCTGTGGAGTGGGAAATATCACCCGCATCCGCCTCTGCAATTCTCCTATTCCCCAGATGGGTGGGAAAAACTGTGTGGGAAATGGGCGTGAAACGGAGAAGTGTGAGAAGGTTCCATGTCCAGGTATGTCTGTGGTCTTGAATCAAAAGTAATACAATATTCCAGCTGGATTTCTTCTCTTTATTCAGATCTAAATGACAGTGAATTTCAATGATGGAAAACAAAATTTTATCTTATGAGTGAAATAACACACAAAGGTGTTTTGACAATGAAGACAAGAATGCAGTCAGAGGTTTTGTAAACCTTGCAAATTATAATTTGGCTTTAAATATTAAGAGTTTGAGAAATTTCCATTTTAGTGATGTGTCTCTGCATATCAAAAATAAACACTTCCTTTCTAAAAGGAAGCTCTCTGTACTTGTTAGGAATAGATATACAATCCCCCAATAGCCAGATTTCTTTGATATTTGTGCACACATTTTTTACACATTCAACACAATTGCTGTTATAATTCTTTCTTATTTGTCTACACTTTTAAACCTTTTTTAGACCTTTCATTCCATACACTTTCACTTTCCTTTTATATAATTTTTCCTCCTTTTTTTCTCTTTGCATATCTAATGGGCATGGCTTGGTCTTCTGAATTATTGGCCAAAAAATGCCTAGGAAACAGTTGGGTATTTTTCATTAGTTTGTTTCTGAAATATTGCTATCTCAGTGCAAACGTCTGCTATCATCTTTCCACATACATAGTGAGGAACTGTCTCTAGTCAGCGATCTGATGAAGGGTTGTCATTGGCACCAGATATCCCCACTTTATTGCCTGTGATTCTCTGTTCTTTTACATATCTTAGTGAATGGCCAGTGGGGTCCTTGGTCTCCGTGGTCTGCCTGCACTGTCACCTGTGGAGGAGGAATTCGTGAGAGGTCTCGGCTCTGTAACAGTCCAGAGCCACAGTATGGAGGAAAGCCATGTGTGGGAGATACCAAGCAACATGATATGTGCAATAAGAAGGATTGCCCAATTGGTTGGTGTTCATTCTTTACTCAGTCTGAGTCACTATTATTGCTGTTATCTCTTTAATGGGTCATTATCAAGTCACACTACAGGAATCTGCTAATTATACCTTTGTTTCAGTAGAGGACATTTAACTATTTTGAGTGCTATTTAGTGGGGTTTTTTATATATTTGCAATACCAACTTTCTTGAAGAAGTATGCCTTTCTTAAATAGGGATTGAATATGCTCTAATGTATTCAACTGGGTGTAGCAATCTAATTTTTTCATATCAAATCAATAGTAATTTTTCTTAAATGCACTTAACCCTAACTTCAGGGGTTTCATAAGAGTCCATTGCAGCAAGTGTGATTTAAGCTACTGACCAGAGAATACCTGTTTCTTAAATGAAGTTTTACATGCCTTTTATGCTCCTTATTTAATTTTCAGTTTTGTGTGTCTTTGCCAGATGGGTGTTTGTCAAATCCTTGCTTTCCTGGAGCAGAATGCAACAGTTACCCAGATGGGTCTTGGTCCTGTGGGGCATGTCCAGCAGGATACCTTGGCAATGGTACCTTCTGCGAGGATCTTGATGAGGTATTGGCTTTGTTTCCATTAACATCAGGAAATCACCATGACAAATTCATTATTTGGGAATTACAGAGCCATCTAATTGATTGCTCCTTTTTTTTTTTTCTTTCTTAACCTGCAGTGTATAGCTGTGTCAGATGTTTGCTTTAAAGTGAATCAGGTCCATCGCTGTGTGAACACAAATCCGGGTTTCCACTGCTTGCCGTGTCCTCCACGCTATAAAGGAAGTCAGCCCTATGGAGTAGGGCTTGAAGTTGCCAAGACAGAGAAGCAAGTAAGTGATATCAAAGGGAATTTGATGGCTTTGAGTAATTCTCATCTGAAATATCTTTGAATGATGGCATAAGATAA